ATGGTTCCTTTCTGAGCAGAACCACCGCGGAATACCCACCCCAGTTGGCCAGGGCCCTTGCTACAATTATCAGACCTTTTGTCACTTCAGGTGCTGGAGTCCTGCAGGTTGCTGAGTGTTGCGGCTCGCATTGAGGATCGGGGTGGTTTGCCCAGTTCAGGGCTCAACGTGGCACCTTTGGCTTAGGATCGCCTGGTCGCCTTTGCGTATGTACCTGGTGTCATTCCTCAGCTCAAAGCTGTACTCCAAGCCGCAGTTGGAAAGTTGGGACTGGTGCTGGCGCCTGGACGCTCTCCCAGACTTGTTGTTGACAGTTCTATCAGCAATGTTACAGCCAATACTGTGCTCCCTAACCACATTGACGCTTGATGTGTCAAAAGAACACCGGAGAATCCTCATGGGGGTATGTTGTGTTTTCATGCCAGTGGAGAGCTCTACAGATGCATTACGCTCAATTTTGGTGCCCGCGCAAGCGGATGGTATTGGGGAAGAGTGGATGGATTGATGGCACGCACCAGCCATGCTTTGTTGGCACACAGTCATGCCTTGTGGCAGTATGTGGACGATGTCCTCACATGGCTTGACTGAGCATCGTCACCACTCTGGGCGTCATTGCCGGTGATCCTGTTCCTGATCTTGGGTGTGCCTATGTCCAGGCACAAGGCAGCCCTTTCCCAGGAAGTGGACTGGATTGGATGGCGCATATCAGTCTCATCTTGGACTATTTCAGTTCCTCCAGAGACCCAGAGAAGTTGCAGAAGATCACAGGGCAGCTTCACGCTATGCAGCTGTGTGCACAGCCACGAATCCCTGATCTAAAATTACTCATCAGTCGTTTGTGCTGGCTCACGTCTGCATGGCATCACTTGCCGCCATTGTTGATACCATTGTACAAGGCTTTACATCGTATCCCAACGACAATGGTTGGAATGGATCATGTCACAGTCCAGCTTTTCATTTCGGCTTTGTCACCGAAGCTGATTTTGACCCAGGGCCTCTCGCACAAGCATAAATCATTTGCTCACAGGGGCTACGTTGGTGAGGATTGCCAATACTCATGTCACTACCCTGGACGAAGTCACCAAACTTCAGATCAAATCCAGACGGATCTGGGTTGACATTACTGATCCGATTTCACCTCATCGCACACTTGATGCTGATGCTCAAGCGGCACTCCTGGTGTGGTCGCAACTGGTGGTTTCTACGCCGTTTTGATTATCCATGTTGCCTATTGAACTCAATGCGGCTGCTGATGAGACATTGCTGGTTTGGGTGGTGCTCCTTTCTTTCCTGATGGCTCAGTTGTCTGGTATCAATTTCAGATTTCTCTTTCAGAAGCGCAGTCACATTGGGATTGGGTGGGTGATGATATGCAAAAGCATATTGCTGCTTGGGAGCTTCTCGCACAATACGCGCCTACGTTTTGCATTTCTTCACATGTCCCACGCCATCGTGGCCCTGTGTCCTGTCATCAAGCCACTGACAACAGTGTTGCTGACGTTGCCTCATCCAAAGGACTATCGATGACCAGAGCCATTGCCCTTGTCTTGGCGCCATATTTTACATTCGTGCGCCGGTTTCAGCTTTTTCCAAGTATTTCTACTAGTCCTGGACATGTGAATGTGTTAGCAGATTCTTTGAGTCGCTTCAAGCAGCCGCTGCCAGCCGAACTTGATCCCAATGGACAATGTGAGATCAAGTGGGGAGCACTTGAATTTTCGTGAATTAGGATTGCTCAAACCGGTCGAAAGTGGCCGAAGCCTTTTTTGATATCCTGCGCAGTCAAAAAGAGTAGCTGCAGTCCGCTGATTGTTTGGTCAAATCGATCTTGTTTGGGGGGAGTTCTAACTCCGGCTGGTCCATTTTCGATCGTATTTTGGTGCTTTGGGAACCACCTCGGTTACATCCACTTCTTTACAGACCCCGGTTTGTTGGGGTTGTAGTTGTTGATTGACGGGGCATCGTGTTTGAGATCAAGGTCACCTTGTACATATTGGACCCGCTGGTTCTTATTTTTTAATGTACAACATTGGACCTGATCCTTTTTGCACCACGCCTAAAGATAATGCTTTGTGTTTGCGGCAGCTGTTGTGTGTTGGATGTCGGCTTTAGCTACTTAGATGTTTTCGGGAAGTTGAAGCAAAGGATCCATGTTGTGAACGTGTCATGTACTTGTACACAGTGGTTCACATATTGGGCCTGGAAGTTCATCTTTGGTCCGTGGCCATTTTGCTTTAAGCTTCCCACTTTGATTTCGTTCTTCCCACCACCATCCCCTATGCTCCACCGTTCTGTGGTTGTGGAGGTGGTGCTTTGGGAACTTTCCACCTCGGTTACATCGACTTCTTTACAGACCCCGGTTTGTTGGGATTGGAGTTGTCAATTGATGGGGCATCGTGTTTGAGATCAAGGTCACCCTGTACATATTGGACGCGCTGGTTCTTATTTTTTTTATGTACAACATTGGGCCTGATCCTTTTTGCACCACGCTTAAAAATGATGCTTTGTGTTTGCGGCAGCTGTTGTGTGTTGGATGTCGGCTGCAGCTACTTAGATGCTTTTGGGAAGTTGAAGCAAAGGAAACCATGTAGAGGGCGAGCGCTTGTAGATGAAATCCATGTAGATGATGTATGTGATGTACTGTAGATGCACTTGATTGAAATTGACGTAGATGTAGATTTAGATGTAGATGATGTAGATGATGTATGTGATGTAGTTGAAATTGATGTATATAGATGATGTAGGTTATGTCATAATTATTGTTGGAGACGTAGGGGTTGTAGATGATGTATGTGATGTAGATGTAGATGATGTAGGTGACGTAGGAAATGTTATGTAGATGAAGTGAAATGAATGTGGCAAAAATTATTTGGGAGACCCTTGGCAGGAACTTTCGGGAAAAAACGAAGGTTTGTGTGCATCGTGAAAGAGTTTGAAAGGGCTGTAATGGACAATCAATGCGTCCATTGGTCTTGATTCAGGAACCTGCTTCAGTCCGGTTCTCAAACATTGTGCGGAACTTATGAATATTGAGACTGAGCAGCATGAAGTTTTGGGATATCATGTTGCATGCATGCTAGGATTTCATCAACATCATTCATTTTCACACATTTTGGCAAAATCTTACTGACACACCACCATCCCAACCTTGATGCAGCCATTGCAATACGATACACGACTTTCAGTTGCAAAACACCATAGCATAGCGTCAGCAACAGCAGACAAAAAATCAACTGAACACCTCAGTTACAGTGAACGGGCGCGCGTTGTGAGCAAACAAATTTCCGCGCTAAAGCAGCGATGCCCGCAAACGTCGTGCAAGCAAACCTACCCTTTTTGCACCGGAATGTCCGTTGACCCCAAAAAAACACAATGTTTCGTGCAAATCCTAACATTCGAACCTCATCAGCTTCATGTAGCAGTTCCAACGCGATCTAGCAACAGCGAGGTGCAGAACACCAAGGAAGCGCAACACAGTACTCAAGAACAAGTAGCGTTGATGCAGCGGTTCCATTATTCAAACTGTTTCAACAGCTGCAACATAGCAAAGCACAATGTCAACAAAGAAACACAAAAGTCGCGTGGAGACCTCATTTCCACCGCGTGGGCAATTCGAGCAAGAATCTACGCTAAAGCGGCAATGCCCGCAAGCGTCGCGCAAGCGAACCTACTTTTCTCCGCACCGGAACAATGTCTCCTGACCCCGAAAACACAATAGTTTCGTGCAATTCCTCGATGTAGCAGTTCTAATGCGATCTAGGCACAGTGAGGCGCAAAGGACAATAGAATTCAATACAATACCCAAGCACAACTAACGTTGATGACCTCTACTTCTACAACATCTACCTGTACCTCTACCTTTATCCCTACCTCTATCTCTACCTCTATACCCCTACCTCTACTTCTCTTCTACTCTACTCTTCTTTACGTCGGGAACATGCCAATTGGCCAAAAGACTTCTGTGCAACTTCTTGGCTTCAGAAACATACCAATGTGATTTAAGAGTTTTGAACTACTTCTCTACTTCAGGAACATGCCAACTGGACTTAAGACTTCCGTGTTACTTCCCCACACGGCACGGACATGCCAACTGAACTTAAGTTTTTTTTTGCATTTTTTTTACTTCGCGAACATGCCAACTGGGCTAAAGACTTCTGTGCTACTTCTCTACTTCATGAATATGCCAACTGGACATACGACTTGTGTGTAATTGTTTTACTTCAAGAACATGCCAACTGAACTTAAACTTTCGTGCTACTTCTCTACTTCACGAACATTCTGCAATGCCACAAATTGCACTTAAGACTTTTGCGTAACTTTTCTACTTCAAGAACATTCCAACTGGGCTTCAGACGTCTGTGCTACTACCCCACACGTCACGAACATGCCAACTGGACTTAAGACTTCTGTGCTACTTCTCTACTTTATGAACATTCCATTTGGACTTCATGATTTCCTGGCTATTGCTAATTTGAATGTCCGTAACTACGATACTTCCCTTGACAACACTGTTTGAACCGAAGGTATTTTTGCCAACATGTTGTGGGTGCCGCATTTTTACACATATTGACAGCGGTTTTTGTCTGCATGTTTGTTTCACCTTTGGCAACGTGTGATTTTTCAGGCATTTCGAATGTTCGTGCCGAACACTTTCATTCCAGAGTCCAACGAACACGACCCGGCATGCCCTGTTCATTTTTAAAAACATTACATTACATTTCATTTCATTTGGTAAAATGTCATTACATTACGCTACATTGCATTGCATTGCATTACATTACATTACATTACATGTTTTGTTGCTGATATTTGCGGGTTTCTGTTTGAAAATATTGAACCTGTTGTATGTCTTAATATCCAGACTTGATTTGAACAATTGTTTCGGATTCTTGTTTGTGCTCGCCGATTGCCAACACATGGATACCACGAATCTTGCAGCATAATCGGCATAGTTGCATGGTTTGCATTCTTTCAATTTGGTTGCTTTTGAAAATCACGTGATGCATGGCCAAAGCAGCTTCTACGTCGACTGTGACGGTTTCTCTGTCGCGGCCGATGCTCCACATCGTGGAATTGAAATGTTTCTGGAAAGTGAGCAGTGGATGCCCAAGACTCTGCCAAACTGAGTGAAATTCATGTGCTGTGTTGTGTTTGACAACCATTTCAACATGCAAACAGGTTGAAATCTCGACTGCAAGTGCTGTTTCGACCTTAGACTTTGTGAAACATATCATTCAATCGCAAATTGCAATTTTTCCGGTTTCGGGTCCCCACTGCACAGAAACTAACTCGGTCCATGCACAAAGGCATCAACTTGACAACCGCTCGGATGAGGTCGACGTTTCATCAGTTAAAATTTGTATGATCTTACAGTCAAATTGATGCGAATGCAATGTCTCTTGCGGACTTGCGTTTGGCAAACAAAAATCGGACTTGTGCAGCAGGTTATTGCCGAAACACCATTTCAGTGCGGAACCTTACATAATCTCACAATATCTTACATATTATATATATAAATATTTGAAGAGGCGAAACAAAATACTGACCATTCGTTGACGCTGGAGGTTGTTGAAAATGATCGACATAGACCATGCTGCAAAATGGCAAGAACCTCAGCACAAAGTTTCACCGCTTTTGTGAATATATGTATATATAGTATATAGAGTATATATATATATATCAGATGTGTACTTAAGAAGTCTGATTTATATTAGGCCAATTTGCAGTACATAATAAACATGTATATTTTATTGATGTCAAATTGTCCGGTAAGTGTTGAATTTGTTGAATTCGCATTCCCACGGTCATGGTCAATAGTTTGGTGGCCTGCAGAGGTGCGCAGAGGACCCTCGATGCACAGGCCTGTGCTTCAACGAGGAGACAGGTTGGGCGCGTTGGGCTCCAAGTTTCCAAGCGCATAAAATTTGCATTGCTCACAAGTTGGTTCTGATACATGTTTGCGCTTTCAAATGGTTTTGATATGTTCTGATACTGTTCTGACAAATCTGAAGGCAAACGCAATTGCAATCAAACTGCAGACGACACTAGACGACAGTCCAGGTTTTTATGTGTTTGCCACGAATCAAAGACACATACTGTGTCAAAGGGCCTTTTCCACACAATTCTCACACACACATACAAAAACATGGATGGATTTTGTACACACCCAGGCTTTTACCACACAGCGCTGCAGAAGGGTTTCGCGCCGCTAGCTTCAATTCAGACCCATCATTTTACTCTTCAGTTTGGTGACTGAAAAGGGTAGCGTTTCCAGTGGACCCTTTAAAGATTAATCACTTGCATGTTGAGTGTTTGCTGTCCAAGGAAGCTTGACGATGGAACCAATGCATCGGCGAGAACCTTGGAACTCTTCCGATGTTTTGGAGATCTTTCAAATGACTCACGTGAGACAATAGAGTTCCACTCTGTTTGACAGATTTCTACAAATTTATGATTTCCGTCAAGACCTTGAGAGACAGCGTTTGTCACCAAGCTATCAATTTCTCTACAGCCAAGCATTGAAGCTCCTCGATAAATTCGTTCACCGCGCAGCTGGACGAGCTGCATCATGCCCCATGATGCCCCATGAAGCCCCATGAAGCCCCATGTAATGATGCAATGACGCGTGTTTGTCGATTTGTCTCTCTATCTCAGCAATACATGCCGTGGGTGGCGTTTGCAGACAGGACAAACTTCTCCGCCTTTTGTTCCTCGTACCCAGGTTTGCCTTGCATTGAAGGGCTTTGGCCCACCCGGGACTGGTATGAAGAGGGAAATGAGGCGCTACATACATGGTGTGAGACCTCCAATGGATTCGTAGTGAATACGCATTTCTTTCAAATTGTTCACATTCAGCATGCATGTAGGATTGTTTTGTTTTTTTTACAGTTGAAATGAATGGCATCCTCTCTTGATCAATTTGATTTAACCAGCAGTTGGAAGCAATCAATCGCGTTTGTCGATGGCCAGCTCAGGCCATGCTTTAGATCATTGGAGGCTGGGTTGCATAGGATTTGCTGCTTCCGACTTGAAGGGCCACATGGTGACCCGCCAAATTTCTGGCATTTGAACGTTTTGGAATATTTCGGAATTCTGTTCTAATCTCTCATGAAATGTGGATAAATGATGATAAATGTTGCCTCGAGCGCGCAGACGGGAAGGAGACTTCTTCTGGTTCTTGGATTCCCTCGAAGGCATTGCTCACTTTTGCCATCTACCAGGATCCACGAGACTTAGACGGTTTTGACATGTTTTGACTCAAGTCTTGACTTGCTTCCAGAAGCTTTCGCATCCCCCGTGCCTCTCTGATATTTTGATATGCTTGACAGGTGCCAAAAAATATGCTTTTGCTCCCTGATGGTAGTTCAATGCAGCTGCGCCTCTTCTCCTTTGGGGCTAGACCAGAAGGGGCCTTAGAAGTTTTTATATAATAGTTTTTAGCGTCATCAGTTTCAGTTTCAGTGTGGTTCTGTGTGCTGTGTGGCAGTCCATGGCTCAAAATGGCTCAGTCCATGGCTCAAAATTCAGGTTCAGATCTCCTTCGAACAGGCACGGAGCACAGGTCACCATTTGCGCTGGGCCCACTGGGCCCACCAAATGTAAGCGGTTGCAGCACCTGCAGGGAGCTGCTTGTGCACTCACACAGACTGCTAAGATGCAGAATGCAAGGCTGGGCCTCTAGCGGACATCGATGCGCATCTTCAATTTTATTGAATTTCTCAACCCGTTTTTGCTACTTGAATTTTACTTTTGACACTGTCAGTGACGTCAGGACGCCGTCAAATGATTTTGCGCACTTCTTGTAGACCAGTTCTTGGCACATTTGTGTCATGGCTTGTACATACAATCAACGCAGTGCTTGCGAAAGCACTTCACAAAGCGACTTCCCAGAAATTTCCGGTCAAAAGTGTCTTTACTTCACCTTGGGCAGGATAGGAAAGGTAAGAAGCGCAAGGGTACCACGAACACAATTCACACCATGATCAAATGAATCATATGTTAAAAGAAACCGAAGAGTACTATGTTTTGAAACTAGGAAGTAGCAGTGCACATGTTTATATGCTTGCCATTGACAGAGCATGACACTCCACCGTTGCTTTTTCATCTTGACGATCACACGCAGTCAGTGTACAAACGCATTTCACAGAGCTACAATCAAAAGCAGTCACAAGCATGCAACCACTGCCACGTTCAGACTGTTTGCTTTTCGTACCTTGAACTGCAGCGTGGTAGACTTGTGAATGATCCTGGAATATCAAACATTTCGGTCTCAATTCTGCGCTGCTCCCTGATTGAGATTTGTTGTGAAAGGCTGGAAATTCTTGTCACACTTGAGTCTACATTGTGGTCTGGAATGAGCTTTGGTCTGATTGCCTTCCTTCTCTTCTGAGAGTCATTGACATTGATTGATTTGTGTCTTGTACCTTTATCATCCTTTATTGATTTGGACTGACTTAAACAGCTTTTGCTTGGGAAGGCTCCTTCAGGTGGCAGCATGGGCATTTAGGCTGCAATGGCGCTTCGTTTCAAACAAATCCTGTTGAGCACCGCAGAATGATTCTGGAGATGCTGCCGAAATAAAGTGTGCCATTGTGTAGCATTAGAATTAGTGTTATGTGAATTTATATATGTGCCGATCCATCCGATCCTAGCTGTTTGGCGTTCTTCAACGTTCTTGGATTTTCTTCGCTTTTTCATGCTGGCCCAAGGCGTACCCAGCAAGGCGCAAGTCCAGGCTGCCAAGGCTAGGGTTGAACGTCAATAGGAGCAAATATGGCGTTCCTTATTAGCATTTGCATCTGAGGCTCAACAATACCCAATAATATATATATATATTATATACATGATATATACATAATATATGCATAATATATACATAATACATACATAATATATACATAATACATACATAATATATACATAATATATACATAATATATATATATACACACAGTTCATTTCCTGTCTGTGTTGGAAATAAGATGTTCAAGGCAGATGCTCTTGCTGCAGCAAATAAGACTGGGAGGCTGGACATTGGACACTACACCTCCACACTATCCTTATGCATGCCAAAAAAATGTATTCACAAAGCTAGCGGCGCATTTTGCGCATTGTTTTTGGACAATCTGAAGCTTCGTCACGGCTGTCCGCTGAACAAACCGAGCTTTCTGTGAAACACCAAATTCAAGCTGTACATACTGCTTTCATTTGCTAAAGATTCTGGGGAATTCTGGGGATCTAGCAAAAGGCACTCTGAACTTTTTGTCGCAGGCAGATTTCAAACGCAAGTCGTGCAGACTTGGAGATGCATGTCGGTGCATGTCCTGCTTTCCTGTTTTTAGCAGATCAAACTTGGCAGGCACCGAAGAGTCTTGACAAAAAAGAAGCCCAAGCCCTGGATACGAACTTTGGGAAAAGACCCACCGGAGCTAGAGATGCAGCTAGAGAGAGATAGGGAAACGAAAGCAGTTTCAAGAAGCAATGAATCATGGAACATCACTGAATCTTGTGAATATCTTGTGAATCTTGACTTCAAAACGTATGCAGCATAGGAAGGAATAAGGTGTTGGAGCTGCATTTTTTCTGCACTTTCAACATCAAAACATGTTCTTGTAAGGGCCATCAAACCCCGCCACGTTGATGGAAACCTTCATTTGCCAAGGTTAAAGCACGAGAGGACTCTTACGCTCCACTTCCCGCATTCTCAGAGCAGGTTCTAGTAGGTTGAATGACTTTCCTCGGGTATCTCAGCAATTCTGCTCTGATCGAGTTGCTCCATGGCATTTGTTTGGCACACTTCAGATCAGGGTACTGTAAGAAACCATCAATGTGGGCAAGGATGGGCAACGTTTCCGCAAGTGATATAAGTGATCCAGAGTGCTTTCATTTTATGACTTTCCAAAATTCTTTCTGCCTTTTGAAGTCTTCAAAACATGAACCTCTAGCAGTCGCTCGTTTTGTGCTTTAGGGTTGAAAAGAGCTGTAGAGGAACCAAATCCGAAACAAGCGAAAACGAGAGAAGTCAGAGTTGGCACCTCGGTTTTCCTTTTTTGCTGACAAGACAAGGATGCTGTTTTGGCTAGGTTGCATTGGCAGTAAGGTCTGTACGTGGGCGGGCCAGCGAGGCAATCAACTTAAAAGCTTGCTGGCCTTTCGCCATGTCTGTGGTATGATTCAAAAGCTGCTGTGCTAAACAGCAGCATGGATTCCTGTCTCGGACTTGTGTTGCAAGCGCAGTTGTTGACAATGTAAGTGTCTGTCTTGAGTCTGCGATGTCAAGTGTTGCATTGTTTGCACTTGGAATGAGGCTACAGCTGTTTCGAATACAACCAGCACACAAAGCAGGAGATTCCACTTCAGAGGGACTGAATGTGTAAGAAGATGAAGCATGTCAACATGTATTTTCATTTTGCACTTTCAAACCCCTCCCGCGAATTGTGAAGGAGCAAGCTGAAGCTGAAGAAAGAAAGTAAACCACTGTCCAAAGTAGTTCCAGGTTGAAGCCCGAGACAAAAACAGGCATGAGTTTGACATGGCAAGGTTGCTGGCCAGTCCTTGTTCTGAATTTTGAGAAAAGGAGCCCGTGGCCAGTGGCAACACTTGCCTTTCATGAGCTGAGGAATTTATTACACAGAAAAAAAGTTTCGTTAGATGCTTCTTCGTCTTCATTTTTTTCTAGCTGAGGTCAGGGGAGTGGGACACCAGGTGCCAGGGCTGCCGCTGCCAAGGTGCTTTCCATGGCCACCGGCCACCGGCCACCGGCCACCGGCGACCGGCGAGGTTTGGCAATATTTGGCAAGCATCGAAAGATTGGAATAGGATGGAAAAAGAGAAACGAAAAGATTAGCAAGGGAACTTCCGAAAATTGATTAAACATATTAAAATTGTATGATCTATCAGTGCATCCAGTGTCCAACCTGTGTGAATAGTGTCTGCCACAAAAATAACTCTTTGACTAGTGTCCTTGGATTCTCTCGCGTTGGCAGGTTCCCAAGGCTGTCCGAATATCAAAAAGAGGAGGCAGGCGGCTGAAACCAACTTGGCCCGCTGCTCAGTCGGAAACCAAGACGAGATGACACAAGCAGCCTGAACAAAGGCAAGATGTTTCTTCCCGTTCAATGAGGGACCTTTTCAAATCCGTGAAAAGCCACCAAATTCCCAAAAGCACAGATTTAGTGTGATGATTCTGAACTGACGGCAAATTCACTGAATGCAGGCGCAGCTTTGGAGTTGGATGAGAGCTATGGCAACAGAGACAGTCGCTGCTGTCAATCGTGGCATGCAGCTAGAGAAGATGAGCGATGCTGCCCACAGGAATGACGAGTTTCTCAATCGTGCTTTCCGCTAAACTGCATCTCCGAAAGCAAGTTGATTTCTTGTCATCTTGTGAATGATGGTGGTTGCATGATTCTGCAGCTTTTCTTACTCTAGAAAACACCATGACTCATTTCAACACAGTATGTATTAATGACAGAGGCGATGATTCAGATGCAGGGCTAAACTTTTTTCAAAAGTACTGCAGAAAATGGATAAACATGCTTTTGCACGATTCTGGCAGACTGCTTCACATAATAACCAAGCGGACCAAGCGGACCAAGTGCAAGCACAACGGCATGGCAGATCCTTTGCCATACCTTGCTGCTTCTGCCGTTTAGCCTTAGATCCATTGGGGCGCACAGAGCTTCAAAAAAAGGAAATCATCTGAAACAGGATTTTAAATCCTTTCTGTGTTGAGTTTTGAATTCCATAAAGTCTAATCAGGTCAAGATGGTCTTGAAATATCTTCAAATATCTTTAATTTTTTGAATAAACTGTTGACAGTCGTTGACATCTGAGGTCTCTTCAGTTGTCACCTTTCCTGTGTGGAAAGCAGCTACGATCGGCCAGTGGGCTCCTCGATCTTGACACTTCTCCACGGGCTGCTTTTCTTCACACTTTCTTCATGGATTTCATGATCCACGGATCTCCTTAGGTCAGGATTGACTTCCTCGGGGCACTTTCTGGAGGTTGACTTGCCATTTTCTCATATTTTCTCCAGATAGATGCATTCGATTGGTTGCTTAGAAACTAGGATTTTTGGCATGCAGGGCAGGGGAACCAAAGTCCATATTTTTCCAAATCTACATTTCACAGTCCTTGGGAGAGAGTGCTTTGCAAGCTCAACCCGCTCAACCGGCTCAATAATTCTAAAGTCATTGCGAGATCCTTTGTGACCTCAATTCACAGGCGGTGAAGCCACCTTATCGAGGAAGCTTTGCAGTGGTCTTGTGCTCAGCTTTCACGGATTTGATCTTTTCAGACTGTTTCAGATCGTTTGATGACTTTTGATTTCATTATGATTCCATTGTTTCCGTGTGTTTGAGTCATTTTGGTTGTTTCGTAAGCCGTTTCGTCCCTGCAGGTTTCCGGAAGGACTTGGGCGCAAGCTTTAATATTCTTTGGCGGCAAGCCCAGCATTCGGAAATGCTTGTCCGAAAGGTTTAAAGATTGGAAAGTCACCGGTAGTAAGTCACTAGGTCTTCAGAATCGTGCAACTTGTGGCAGAACGAAGCTTTTCATTTTGCCCCACCATGGCCCATGGATACATAAACTGCCCGAGGTTCTGACAAGGGGTCTACATGGTTGCGACGCCAGGGCTGGAGTAGTGCAACATCATCTGTGTTGCCTACGCACCTAGGCCTTTGAGATATGCTTGTAAAACTTTTCGCAGTGGACGTCTAGGGTTGCAATCGCTGTTGTTTTGCATTTGATAGATCTTGGAAAATCTTGGAAAGAGGCGAACAAATTCAAACAGCACCACCAAGTGAGGAGATCGAGATCAAGCAGACTTGCACGAAGAAATCTAAGCTGGAGAGAGAAGACAGAACATCAGAGGAAGGGCAGCAGATGCCGAAACCAAAAAGGAAGAGGGGCAAACACAGATGGAGGTGCTGCTCGTGCCAATGCTTGGATGCTGCTGGGGTTGTTTGACTTTGGCATATCCAATCCCTTAGAGACCAAAGCATGGTCAAACTTATATAGTACAAACCAAATCTAGCGGGGTTCTCGGCTTCCTTTATGTTCGAACGGATTTCGCACACATGTACCCACCCACCACTCTCTCCCTTACACACACACACATTCTCATGCACTCGGGAACGGACCCAAATCTTTCCGCGCTCCTGGGATGGTATTAACAAAACAGCCATACCATAACAAAGACAACCCTAAGGTCTTTGGATAGATAACCCACAGATCGGAAGTCTTTGGCAAATTGACAGCCAAAGAATTGTGTTGGTGGTAGCTTTGAAGCGCATATATATATATATATAGTCGTTTGATGTTTGCATCGAAGTTGGTGTTCCGCCTGCAGCGACCGCAGACAATTGTTTCTACGTTAAGCTTAGGCTTCTCATTTCGGTCAGCAGCTCAGGACAGAAATTGAAAAAGGACTTGGTGCCAATGCACAGACTCAAACACTCGTGTTTGCAGACGGACTTTTCACAGATCTGTAAAGCGAACTTCATAGATTTGGTCACAGTGATGTAAGTAGTACTCAGGTTTCTGCAGTTTTTCTTCCACACAGTATACAAGACTTCATGTGGACAGTGGATGCTGACCCTGATGTTCTGATTTGTCATTCTGCACACGCGTATCTACATATCATATATATAAGAGGGTCAGATGACATGGGAACAAGAGATTTTTTACCCCATACGTTGAGCAGATGACATGAGCATGGAGAGTTGTCGACCATCTGAAAAGAAAATTGAGTGCCGCCATTTTTGGGCCTTGTTAGCAGATGACATGAGACAATGTGACATTTTTGCTCGCTTATGACCAAGTCATGTGTTCAAGCACCACTGCCGCACAAGGGTGAAACCAAGAAAAACAAGGTTTTGCTGCCTACGGCACACTCATCTCAACTCTGTCTTGGGGAATGCTCTTGATGAAATGACAGTGAGCCCTTAGCTGAATGTTTGCACCTGCCCTCACACATTTTGAAGGCGTTGTCTACATCTATTTTTTTAACAAATTGGAAAATTGAGAGCTCGTCAAGCCATGTGCTCTAGCCTGGCGTCGAAACCACAAAGTGATCCGGGGTACATTTCTACAGTCCCCGTGTCCTTAGTTGAGAGCTCATCATGTGCTCTCATGTCATGTGCTCTCGGGGTCTGGTGTCGAAACCACAAGGTGAACCGAGCTTAAAACCAACTGACAATGTACGTTTCTACAGTCCCCGTGTCCTTACTTGAGAACTCATGTCACGTGCTCTAGGACGCTCTAGGGCCCTTAGGCTTTCCAAAGCACGGGCAAAGGAGTAGCAAAACTAGGGATGGAAATGAGAAATAGTGGGTACATTGATTGCTATGTCTGCAGAGACAGAGCCATCAACTGGAATGAGGCCGCACACAGGCGGGGAAGAACAAAAACAGGGACCAACAGGTGAAAACCAACGAAGGGAAACATAATGGAGAGGAACAAAACCGTCAACAGGCGGGCCAGGTCAAGGCTGGCGCAGGCCAAGGCTGTGGACTGCTGCAGGAGGCCAACGCAACCCGGGGGAACAGGGCCACACCTGGGGCGCAGCTGCCCGAGGCCGAGCAGAAGGAACACCAGGGTGGACACAACGCGGGGAAAACAACAGGGAACACAACAGTTGACAACAGCTGCAAAGGGATGCCTCCTCCAGGCGAGCAGGCTCCAACAGATAGCCGCAACGGGGAAAACACATGGAGGTTGCCAAATTGCTGCCCCTGCTATGAAAAATGCAACGCATCTTCTGAAAACGTCGCAAAAGTATCACGCCTGCCACACAAAAACGATTTTCGACACGTTACGAAACATGTCTGAATGTCACGAAGTGCCAGGCCTGCCACGCGAAACGAAGGTACGCGACGCTGGTAACATCCAAAAGTCGCCCCTTTTACAAAACTTACCATAGGCACGGCCATGCAGCCCTCACGCGAACGGTTGCGGACGGTTGCGAATGGTTGTGGACGGTTGCGGATGGTTGCCGATGGTTGCGACCGGTTGCGAACGGTTGCGCAACATCGAGCGAACGCACCTTCAACCCCCAGACCCCCAGAGTGAAACGGGAACCCTTGCTACCCAGTCGGGAATGAAAAATGGTGGATAAATGGCGGTTATATTGTGGCTCTCACTAAAAACGATAGTCATTTATTATTATTTGTATGCCCAGCCGCTTTTCCTCATTTACCACTCCCCGAACATGGAACCACCGGAACGATTTTTGCGCAGGTTTGAAAAAGACAATGTTACACATATTTTCTTGAGAGCTCATGTCATGTGCTCTAGGGGCCTGGTGTCGAAACCACAAGGTGAACCGGGGTAAAAACCACATTCCCGTGTCCTTACTCGAGAGCTCACGTCATTTGCTCTACGGGCCTGGTGTCGAAACTAAAAGGTGAACCGGGGTCAAACCAGCTTAAACTGTACATTTCTACCGTCCCCGTGTCCTTAGTTGAGAGCTCATGTCATGTGCTCTAGGGGCCTGGTGTCAAAACTACAAGGTGAACCAGAGATAATGTACATTTCTGAAGTCCCTGTCCGTAGTTGAGAGCTCATGTCATGTGCTCTAGGGGCCCGGTGTCGAAACCACAAGGTGAACCGGGTACATTTCTACAGCCCTCGTGTGCTTAATTGAGAGCTCATGTCATGTGCTCTCGGGGCCATTCGGGGCCTGGTGTCGAAACCACAAGGTGAACCGGGGCAAAAACTAGTAAAAACCAGCTTGCAATGTAGATTTCGGCATTCCCGTGTCCTTACTTGAGAACTCATGTCATGTGCTCTAGGACGCTCTAGGGCCCTTAGGCTTTCCAAAGCACGGGCAAAGGAGTAGCAAAACTAGGGATGGAAATGAGAAATAGTGGGTACATTGATTGCTATGTCTGCAGAGACAGAGCCATCAACTGGAATGAGGCCGCACACAGGCGGGGAAGAACAAAAACAGGGACCAACAGGTGAAAACCAACGAAGGGAAACATAATGGAGAGGAACAAAACCGTCAACAGGCGGGCCAGGTCAAGGCCAAGGCTGTGGACTGCTGCGGGAGGCCAACGCAACCCGGGGGAACAGGGCCACACCTGGGGCGCAGCTGCCCGAGGCCGAGCAGAAGGAACACCAGGGTGGACACAACGCGGGGAAAACAACAGGGAACACAACAGTTGACAACAGCTGCAAAGGGATGCCTCCTCCAGGCGAGCAGGCTCCAACAGATAGCCGCAACGGGGAAAACACAACGAGTAAATGAGAAATGGTGGGTATATGTTGGGTAAATGGAGAAACGTGGCTTTATGTTAGTTAAGGAAAGAAATCTTGAGACATGTCAAAATACATGCTGTATAAATATGTATGTATTATGTATGTTTCTTTTGTTGTGAACGTGTTGTGCATGTGTTTTGGACAAAAATTCAATGTGTTATGAATCAATGAAATTATGAATGTGTTTTGGGCATATTTTCTTCAACATGTGTGTTGGTTTTGCGGGTGTTTTAGCTGGTTTTGCTGCTTTTTGAAATAATGACAAATGGTGGGTAAATGGTGGTTATATGGTGGGGCTTAATAAAAACCATAGTCTTTAATTATTATTTGTATGCCCAGCCGCTTTTCCTCATTTACCACTCCCCGAGCATGGAACCACCGGAACGATTTTTGCGCAGGTTTGAAAAAGACAATGTTACAAATGCTTTTTTTCAAATATGTTAATTGCAACTGGTGCTTCAGGTTGAGGAGTCATGTCATGTGCTCTAGGGGCCTGGTGTCGAAACCACAAGGTGAAACGGGGTAAAAACCAGCTTACAATGTACATTTTGACGATCTCGTGTCCGAGAGTTCATGTCGTTTGCTCTACGGGCCAGGTGTCGAAACCACAAGGTGAACCGGGGTCAAAACCGCTTTGCAACATAATTTTGTTTCCCTCTTTCCTGATGTTTTTTGGTTTGCCTGCAATCTTGCTTGAAGGCCAGATCGTTCAGTAAACCAATCAAACAATACAATTGCCAAAAAGGAACCCGTGGAGGGGACGAGAGGAGGGAGAGGGGGTGCAGTCAGCTCCACCTATGTTTTGCGTGTGTGCCAATTTGTTTATGTATTGTTGGTGCACAACCGTATATGTGATGACATGCCTGTGAAATCCTGTGAATATGACGTGAATGAAAGTGTCATAGACCAAACCCACGTTTTTCATCTGTATTTTGGTGTTTCTTCAGATAGGCAGGAGATGGCATGTCATGAGCTCATATATTTCGGAAGGCGGGCGTAACACAACCCTATAGCGGAAAATAGGTATGGTACTCATCGGTACCGAAAGCAAATGACATGCGCACTATTTTTTTGTGCCAAAAAAAGTGCACCTAACAGATGACGTGAGAATAGTGATTTTTTTTGAGGCATTTCACTACACACTCGTGTCATGTGAGCATAGTGTATATGCACACATGTATGTATGTATTTATTTATTTATGTATGTATAGACATACACATAAGTGTTTACATACATTTATATATATATGTAGTGTATATACATAAATACATACACACTACATTTACACACTATTTTTGATATACACACTACATATATATACATATATATATATAGGTACACTATATGTAGATACTTTATACATAGGTGCACTATATATATACACACACACTACAGGTACGGTACACTATATTTATACACACAATATGTGTATATACACACTATATATATATATATATACAATATATATATACACTACTAAAAATATGCACTCTATATATATACACACTATGTATATATACACACACTATACTGTACATTATATAGCACTATATCTATATACAGTGGATATATATACACACACACACGCTCTACACACACACACATATATATATATATACACCGTTGTGAAAGGGATTGCTCCCCTTCCCACTGGTAACCCCAGAATCAACAATCCCTGATTGCAAGAAATGGAAGAGGTCCCACCACCAAAATGACTTGAAAGATCCCTGTCTTCTCACCAAATGGAATCCGCAGCAACAAGATGTTTTCCTCCCAAGGAATGGCCCAAGGCAACGGTATGGTGTCCAACACCAAAAAACCACGGCCCGCCCTCCACTGGCACTTGTGCCATATGGGCCACAGGAACATGCTGGTTGTGCAAGGGTTCACATGCAGTCACATCAAGGCAACACAGGAGTGGACAAGTCACACACACACACATCACAACTATATATACATGTGTACACTATATATACACTCTGTATATACACCAGATGTATTCCCTGAAAATACACACTATGTAAATATATAAAAATTTACACTATATATCCATATGGACATTATATATACATATATACACGCTATATGTATACACTACACACACACATATATATATATATATATGCACTATATACATACCCAATACCTATCTATATATATATATTTATAGAATTACATATATATATATATACATTTACATGTATATATACACCGTATATATATATATGTAATCATAATATAGCTGTAGTTATATGACATCTCTCTATGTATATGTATATATATATATCACATTATTACATATAATATATATGATACAATATAATGCAATATATAAGATGCAATATAATGTATATATGTATATATATATATATGTATATAGACTGAGCAGATTTAGGGTGATTGTATGCTTGGGCGCGAATGGGGCTGTGAAGGAGGATGTTAATGTCCTGGAATTGGCACATGCAGTTGATGCTACGTTGCAAATTAAATGGAGCGTGGCCTGGGGATGACTTGGGTCCTAAGATGGGGGTCAAGTGCATCAGTATATGGCGGGGTGGAGGCGTTGAAGTGTTATATATATGTATATATATTTATGATATACTATTTTACACAGTTGTACGGTTTGGTTGTCACTGTGGTTGGAACTGTGAGTTCCTTGGGCCCTGACACGAGGTTGCGATCCCGTGCAAAAGAAAACAAGTGTACATGCACCGATTTAGGATTTAGAACCAAAAAAACAATGTGCCCGAGTAGCAGATGCAGCAGGTGTTTTTCTACAGTAGTTCGGGAATATATATATATATAAGGAACGTTTTGCTACCACATTTGGTAGAACATGTTGCAACCGTGGATTTTTTCCCTGCATATGTCCACACTGAGGAGTACAGTATCAGAAGTACCCCAGCCAGTAATGCAGCACCCGATGTTTTTTTGCGAGGCTTATGTGCAAGTTGCAAACCAGCCTTTCGTGCGCTCTTCTGTCATGCTTCAGGGAGATCCGCAGGTGCGCTGCCTGTACCAATGCGAGATCCTGCAAGTTCACGACTCTTCAGCCTGGTCAGGTAAGATTTGCTCACCAAAGCCCCTCGCCCATACTGGCAGTCTTGCAGTATTTGTGGAGGCAGTGTTTTTTGTTCCTGATTGGGTTTCATCTTCTCTCGCTATACTCTCTCACTTGTTCTCAGGACAGAAGGTGTGAAGGCTCTTTGGCTTGGGACTGGCGTTTTGAGCTAAGAACGCCGCCAAACTCAAACTTGGGCATGTTATAGCATGTTATGGCATGTCTGTATCGTGGCTTAATGAGGTTAGCATTGTGCGGACGGTACCAAAATATGTCACAGCTGTAACCGCCAAGGAGCTTCTGACGGTCGGACATGTGCCGTTTTCCACATGCATTTGTTCACAAGACTTTGGACATGTTGGTGCTTGAGTCGATGTCTCTAGACCTAAAAGGGATCCATCTTTTTGACCCGATGCAGCCCTTAGACATTTTGTTGCCTCAAAAGCTTTGTTCATGCATTTTTCCGCTTTGAGAAGGAGTTTGCACTAACTGTAATTTGCGGATTATGTAGTTCGAGGGAGCGCGGCGTGACGCGGAGCCTTTTTCCTCTTTCATGCGAGTGCATGCAATTCTTGGGATTGCGAAGAGAGTTTGAAAGCAGTACTTCGAAAAGCATATGTTCACCACATGTTGACTGTCAGGAGGTGCAGATTTGTTTTATTTGCTTTTGGAAATCCTGATCTTCAGAGCATTTCGGGGTCTTGGACGAAGGCAAAGCTCTCCTAGACGATGCTTAAATTAGAATCTGTTTTTGTCGCTTTGTACTGCAGACAATGTAGACCAAGCTTGCATACAACATGATGGTTCAACCGTAGGGTTTGTCACGCATGCGACAATGTTTCTACTTCAAGGTAGTAGTATGGGGGGTGAGTGGGCGAGTCGGGGGGGTGGGGGGCGGGATGGGGATGGGGTGTAGGGGCTAGGTTGCTGGGCGTTTTCAGCCAGCTCTTGTCTTCGAGAGCTCTCTTGGGTGACAGATTGTCTGAAACACTCTACAAAATGGCGGCTTCGACGCATGGATTTTGAGAGAGCCAATGCAATCCCAGTGGATCCACAAAACTCCACCGACGCTAAAAAAAGTCACAAAAAGAACCGCCAGAATCCGGCAAAAAAGGGACAGTTTCACGGAGATGACTTTTGCACTTGTGACATGACTTGCTAACACATTGAAAAAACAATTCAGCAAAGCACAGTGTTTTCTAATTCCTTGACATCAGCGACATCCAAAGCAATCATCCTATGCTTTCAATGAATTGCGCAAACAGCTTGAAAAGTGGGGCAGACCTGTGCGGCTTACCCAACATAATGCAAAGCCATTTGGTCTGAACAGATCTGTAGTATTTTTGAGTGGGGCTTTGCGTTTTCATCTACGGGTTCAGGACAAAATGGAAGAATTCCTTGCCCCTGCCAATGATATGCAGGGTGCTGTGCTGGTCTTAGACTCGTAGACTGGTCAGTCAAGGGGCATTGTAGTCGCAAACTGTCTGTGGAATGAGAGATTGCGCGTATTTGTTGCGGTCCCTTTTTTGTGTGTAGGCCTTCTGGGGTGCCACTTCATTCTTCTCAAAATCAGTGCCAGGTTGAACAGCGAAGGTTTCCAGGGAGAGAGACATGTGGGAGAGAGGAGTGATTGTTGATGGATTATTTTGGCAAGTGTGCGATCGAACGACTAATTGATTGAATGCTCGACCCTCATTGGTGTACCAAAAAAGATGATCTGGAAACGAAGTCCAGGTTCTCTTTTGAACCCAAATCTGCACAAGAACGATTTTTTTTTATGCGCGGCGGCGGCAGCTGTTCATTTGTGGGGCATATTTTTTGGTTCGAATGCTTTTCGTGAAGATCCTGGGGCTCACAAGGTTTCAGTCATGACAGTGTTTGCAACACCGCCTTCTTGTTAAAAGTTGGGCTGAAGAGAGACCTCGGACCTAGGGGTTCCTTTCAAGAAAGTTTTCCACAAATTGTTTCTTCTTTTATTCGTCGTTGGAGATCTTCACTGCTGGAAGAATGAAAAACATTTTGGGAAAACACATTTCGAGGCGCAGCTTGAAGGCCCTGATGAAGAAGTGGTAGGCATCAAGCTAGGGGCAGAAATTGTCAATGGAATCTAGAATCTTTTGCAGAAAAGCCCTCGATCAGCAAAAAGGCGTGGATACCCTGTACCGCAGTGATTTTTTGGAGTTTTCACACAGATCCTTTGATCAGAACAATAAAAAGAATTGGTGACAGCTTGTCGTTGGATCTGCTGCTCTGGGAACTAGTGGACTAGGTGAGTCTCTGGGGCTAATGTGTCCACGTATGGATACACATGGCCTGTCATTGCTTCAACTAGTTATCTCGCTTAATTTGGTGAAGCTTTTGAAAGTCTATACTGTATTGAGCCTATGTTGTGCCATTAGGAGCCAAGGTTGGAGGTTTTGGTCGCCCAGAATGGCCCTGATCTCTGGTTTTTGAAATCCCTGATTTACTTTTCTCTGCCATTTTGAGAAGTACTTGAACAAGTGAAGCCCCCATTCAAAGAAGAACTAAAACTGCTTACTGAATTAAGCTACAAGCTCTATTTAAATTTCTGTTCAGGAGCTCATAGCTCGTTGTTGTTTGTAGCTGAGGTCCTGCGCTCCATCAAGAAGTCTCTTGCTGCCAGCGCGGCTTGATGCCTAGAGAGCTGTGTAAAGAAGAGATGAAGAAACCAAGATGGTGCACTGTGACAACCCCCGATACTGTACACAACTACACAACATGCGCAAAATACACATACTCATTTACTGCAAGATTGTAAAGTCAGCCTGTGTGAATTTAGATACTGCATCGTCAGGGCACGGCTCAACTTTGGCTGAAATTTCTGAGGTTGGATCTATGGTGACGAATCCGCTGGATGTCGCCCAAAATGAGATGTACCAGACGGGGGAAAGCACCTTGACTGCTTGGGAAATTCATTGCTCTATGTGCTAGGTGACGTCAGTCCATTTCAGACGGTTGTGCATGCTGCTTCAGGATTTGCTTCCACCGCCTGAGACTAAGTCTTCTCAGATCGCAATGCCGGACGACTCTTGTAAATGTTCGGTCCAAATGGATCTTCCCCCTGCTCGGGCCAACTGGATCTTCCCCCTTCACCCCTTTTCAGCCAAAGGATATCCTGCGATTACCAGAGCAAAAGTGGTCATGGCCAAACCTGTCCCACTGCAAGTGTGTGGCTGGATTTGCTGTCCGTGTAAACTTCCACAACCTCAAGTGAGACTGGCCCCAGGTGAAACGACTTCAAAGAGAAGAGGGCAGTGGGAAGCCGAGACCGTGAGGTGACGGACAACCCTTCATGCTGCTACATTCTGCTTAATGCTGCTTCATGCTGCTTCATTCTGCTTAATGTTGCTTCATGCTGCTTAATGCTGCTTAATGCTGCTTAATGTTGCTTCATGCTGCTTCATACTGCTTAATGCTGCTTAATGCTGCTTCATGCTGCTTCATACTGCTTCATGCTGCTACATTCTGCTTAATGCTGCTTCATGCTGCTTCATTCTGCTTAATGTTGCTACATGCCGCTACATTCTGCTTCATTCTGCTTAATGCTGCTGAATGCTGCTACATGCTGCTTCATTCTGCTTAATGTTGCTTCATGCTGCTTAATGCTGCTTAATGTTGCTTCATTCTGCTTAATGCTGCTTCATGCTGCTTAATGCTTTTTAATGTTTCTTCATGCTGCTTAATGTTGCTTCATGCTGCTTCATTCTGCTTAATGCTGCTTCACTTGGCTTCATTCTGCTTAATGCTGCTTAATGCTGCTTCACGCCGCTTAATGCTGCTTCATGCTGCTTCATTCTGCTTAATGTTGCTTCATGCTGCTACATTCTGCTTAATGCTGCTTCATGCTGCTTCATGCTGCTTAATGCTGCTTCATGCTGCTTCATTCTGCTTAATGTTGCTTCATGCTGCTTCATGCTGCTTAAGTCTGCTCAATGCTGCTTCATGCTGCTTAATGCTGCTTAACGGCTTCATTCTGCTTAATGTTGCTTCATGCTGCTTAATGCTGCTTAATGTTGCTTCATGCTGCTTGATGCTGCTTCATGCTGCTTAATGCTCTTTAATGTTTCTTCATGCTGCTTCATTCTGCTTGAAGCTGCTTCATGTGGCTTCATTCTGCTTGATGCTGCTTAATGTTGCTTCATGCCGCTTAATGCTAATTAATGTTGCTCGATGCTGCTTAATGTTGCTTCATGCTGCTTCATTCTGCTTAATGCTGCTTAATGTTGCTTCATGCTGCTTACTGCTGCTTAATGTTGCTTCATGCTGCTTCATGCTGCTTAATGCTACTTCATGATGCTTTATTCTGCTTAATGCTGCTCAATGTTGCTTCATGCTGCTTCATGCTGCTTCATTCTGCTTAATGCTGCTTCATGCTGCTTCATGCTGCTTCATGCTGCTTCATTCTGCTTAATGCCGCTTCATGCTGCTTAATGTTGCTTCATGCTGCTTCATTCTGCTGAATTTTGCTTCATGCTGCTGAATGTTGCCTCATCTTGCTTCATTCTGCTTAATGCTGCTTAATGCTGCTTAATGTTGCTTCATGCTGCTTAATGCTGCTTAATCTTGCTTCATGCTGCTTCATTCTGCTTACTGCTGCTTAATGCTGCTTAATATTGCTTCATGCTGCTTAATGCTGCTTAATGCTGCTTAATGTTGCTTCATGCTGCTTCATTCTGCTGAATGCTGCTTCATGTTGCTTCTTGCTGCTTAATGCTGCTTAATGTTGCTTCATGCTGCTTAATGTTGCTTCATGCCGCTTCATGCAGCTTTATTCTGCTTAATGCTGCTTCATGCTGCTTAATGTTGCTTAATGTTGCCTCATGCCGCTTCATGCTGCTTAATGTTGCTTCATGCTGCTTCATTCTGCTTAATGCTGCTTCATGCTGCTTAATGCGGCTTTATTCTGCAATGCTGCTTACTGTTGATTCATGCTGCTTAATGCTGCTTAATGTTGCTTCATGCTGCTTCATTCTGCTTAATGCTGCTTAATGCTGCTTCATGCTGCTTCATTCTGTGCTTAATGCTGCTTAATGTTGCTTCATGCTGCTTACTGTTGCTTCATGCTGCTTAATGTTGCTTCATGCTGCTTCATTCTGGTTGCTCGATGCTGCTTCATG